ATATATATATATATAAATATAATTTTATTCCTCCAATTCAAAGTTATTAATGCTATATTATCCTTCCAAGTCCTCCATTTTTCAAATTATGAAATTTGATCTCCAAACTTTGCATCCAATAGCCAATTTAGTCCTCATAGTTTGGATTTTGTCATTTTTTTCTCCATTTTGCATTTTTTTCTCCAACTTTTCATCAAATATAAAGTTTTACTTACAAAATGCAATATAACATATATTAGGTAGAATTTTATCCAAATGACAATAAAATATCATTATTTAGGGCATCGAATAAGTGTAGAAGCTACACTATCATTTCTATTCATAGATTCTCCTAAATCTGGAAACAAAATCAATACTAAGATTTCAATTCTCTGTGTTTCAACAATGACATATTATTCTTTTAGTGCCAATACAATGTTAGTACTCTTTACATTTCTTTCTTATGTGGGCTATGCATAGTGTTAATGGTTTATAATTTAAATTAAAAACTGCAAAGAAAACATATGGTAAAAAGGAAAAGTTGCTTAAGAACCAGACCTTGAGATGACCATGGAGAAAGAGCTGACCCGGAATTGCCAATCGTTGCTGAAAAATTAGGACATCTTAAATTCATTCATCTGCATGTGAACATTATATTGATGAGACAAATAAACTAGTATTGAAGAATATAAAAAATCTTGATTACTCTTCAAGATGAGGTGGTTCAATAACACGTACCCAACTAGGCGCACTATTGGTGGAGCCATCCCACCCAATGTGTGCCACATGCTTAACATCTGTTGGTAATCCAATCTCTATTTCAGGCTCTTTCATAGCTTCCACATAACCAAATTTCAAATTAGATCCAAAACTGCCAAAACCCCATGACAATATACAAAGAAAATGAATGATCTTGGAAATTGTAAATTAGAGGCATTACCAAAGATTTGACACAGACTATATTTGAATCCCTGGAAAATCCCTTTCGTTTTTGTTTCCATTTTGAAGATTGTACTGGTCCAATTCAACTGCCCTCTTCTAAAATACCAGGCAAAGTACAGAAGGAAGCACCACCCGAATGTCGAAAAAAGGTTCCTTTGCCTATACAAATAACAAACAAGTTCGTTAACCTTTTCCAGGCTTTTAAATGAGGTTGTTTAACGTGATATTACAATAGATAAATGTTTCGACTTCAAGAAAATTGTGCACATATGGAATCTTTAATAAAAAAAAAAATGGATCTGACCTATGTGTCTGAGAACATAATTGTAATGACCCGAACTCGAGCCGGAGCCGTCATTATATCGTACGTACTATCCGCTTCGGGATGACCTGAGAATTCAACTTAAGTCTCCCATATGATGGAGGTCTTAAGTTCGAATTCTAGGGGACGCGTCAAAAATCCGTGAGGAATAAGATGGGCCCATGCCCTTCCAAAGCGGACAATACATATGATATGATATAATAACGGTTTGGGTATAGAGACATGTGTCATTACACTAATCTTTTGGTATTTATGTTTGTGGCCAAGAAACAAATAATTAAAAGAAAATAATAGATACGTACCTTTTCAGAGAAGTATATAGATTATGCAGGGAGAAAGGAGAGTCAATAGAGAAAGTTCTCCTCCTGCCCTGCCTTGTACATTCATCCCCATATATACCTTTACAGAAAGCATGCATGTAAACAAAATGAGATGAAGGGCTTGTTGATGGATGAAGAAAGAATCAAAATTCGAAACATGAAAAAATAAAAATAAAAATCAAGAAAATGGACGCTAAGGACAACGACTTAGAAAAAATGGAAATGTAGAATATTACAACACTCCATTGACGGAGGTGTTCAGGATGTTTTGAGAAGCGTAAGAGAAAAAAGAGAAGAAAGCCCAAAAGTAGGGTGAGGGGTGGATTTGAAGGACATGGGAGAGAACCCTGATTAATAATTAACTATCTACATTAATAATAGCAAAAAAAGTTCGTCATTTTGTTTTTAGCCTCCGTTTGTAACCATTTTTCTACCAAAAAAAATGCATTTTTTGTATCAAATCACACATTTTTGTGTCTTTTTCCAGCAATGGACCCCACTTGATGTGAAAAAAATGTATTATTTGAAGAAAAAATGGCTCCCAAACGGAGCCTTAATTAATACCGTAATGTGGTGAAGACATTGTCCTTGAAGGAGAAAATTCCGGTCTCGTGTCCTTTCTCCTTCTCTCTCTCAACTATCTTAGCTCTTGTTTGGTTAGGATAAAATTTATTATTTCGGTAGATTTTATAAAAGTTGATGAAATGTAATAATTATGGGTCTTATTAAATGTGTGGTAAATAAATTTGAGAAAAAAAAATGATTTTTAAGAAATGAGAGTCAAACATGTACGTAGTGCGCGCTAACTCTCGTAAGATGCGGGCAAAAAAATTAGATAAACTTAATTATGAGTAATTATATTGCAGCTTATAATGATGATCCTTTAAAGATTTAATTTTGATTCTTCAAAATACTCCTAAATAAAAAAAAATGAAGAAACATCCAACTTTTTTTGCGAACATATCAACCTCTTCCACAATCAAATAACTTTTTAGGGTTTTTTAAAAAAATAAAAATTAATTAAAATAAATAATTAAAGAACATCTTCTAATTGCACTAGTTGCGTGGCCGCGATGCACGGATTTCGTTTTTATTTAAGGTAATATTAGCGTATTGAGTAATAAGAATTGACGAGATGTGCTTTGAATTAGTTTCTGCGAATTCTTTTGTAGCTGTTGTTGTTTACTTTAAACTCCAAGTATTTGATAATTTCTCTCACGTTTCTGATAGATATGTTTGAATCATTTGTCATGGACAGCCTCACACTACAACAAAAATGAGTTATTGCAACATTTAAAATGCAACATTCATTGAATGAATGTTGCTAAAAGGGTCAATTGCAACATTCATGTGAGTGAATGTTGCTAAAATGACCTATTACTACGTAACTACAACAAGAATGGGCGATGACAACACTTAAAAGGCAACATTCATTGATGGAATGTTGCGAAAAGGGTCAATTGCAACATTCATGTGAGTGAATGTTGCTAAAATGACCTATTACAACGTTTTTCAAATGAACGTTCGCAGACCGTTGCTAAAAGTGAGACTTTTTGCAAAACGTTCGGTTGAAAGTTGCGAAACGTCACTTTTAGCAACGTTCATTAAACGTTGCGAAACATCAACTTTCGCAACGTTCACTGACCGTTGAGAAAAGTGACATTTTGCAACGTTCAATGAAAGTTGCGAAAAGTAACCTTTTGGCAACGTTCAGTTAACGTTGCGAAAAGGTGTCCGTTGCGAAAAATGATGTTTTTTGCAACGTTCAACAAAATTGACACGGCCAAAAGTCCCAAATCTCCTCAAAATCAAACTATTTATCATTAGCCCTAATTTTTCCATTTCTCGTCTCCACCTCTCGCTTTTCCCTCTTCCCTTCTCCCGTTTCCGCCTTCGCCTCCGCCTCCACCTCCTCTTCTATCATTGTTTCCCCTCACTCACAGCTCCGCCTCCAACTTCGACCGGACCAGCAACCAGGCGACTTCTTCTCCTTGGAAGAAGAAAATGATGGAGACGAAGATGATGACTCCGAGACTGAAAAAGTTCATAACCACTTTGAAAACCTGCAAATCGAAGAGCCCAAGGAGGGAGCTGAGGCTGAGCACTCGAAGCTTGCTGATGGGTATTGATACTGGTGGGTTTCGCGAATTTCTTCCTTTTTAGCTGATTTTGTGTCTGTTTGATGATTTTGGGGTTTTCTGGACTGCGAAAATTGAAGGACTAAGTGCAGTATTTTTTAACCAGTTAAATTTTCTCGATGATTTCTGTTGTATTTTCATTTCTGTTATGCTACTTTTGAAGGAGATTCTCTTGGTTGGCATTTTTATCCGAATTTTTAAGAGGACATTATTAGACATTGGGTGATGAATTGAAAATCGATCAATGAAAATTGCAAGCTCTTGTTCTATTGTTGGTTCCTCTGTACTCTGTTCAATTTCTTAATTTTTCTCTTCAAAGAGATGTGTGCTTAAAACAATTATCAATTGTTTTCACACTTATTTAATGAACTGTTCGATTGGGAAATGCTGTTTATTCTTCTCTTCAATTCGATTTTGTTATGGAACTTGCATTTGACTCTGGGATTTTATGCAGATGTTGAGTGGATAGTGAATATGTTATGTAGTAGTGTGCAATAGTGGATATGAAGGTAATGCTCTTTGAATTGTTATGTTCAATAGTGGGTTTGGTGACAAAGCCTCTCTCACTAGTTAAGGTATCTTGTGTTTTTGGCACTTGGAGCATCTCTATTGTAATTCAGACCTGGATAGAGCTGCTGAGGGCTGCTATATATCTTCATATTATTATCTTCTGGAAGCTTGCAATGTGGACAATATAACCAGAATATTTGGAATGAGGGCTGTTAACTTATCTTCAAGTCTCTTTTTTACTGTCGCTTACGTCTTGCATATTTGCTTTATTTGATTTGAAGAAATTCTGATCTATAAACATAACCAGAATATTTACTTGATTTTATGAAATCCCCCAAGTCTTCATGCTGTACTTGTAGATTTCTAAGGTCCTACCGAACTGGGGATGATGAATTTCACAACAAATTTTCACTATTCCAGATTTCATAGATTTAACTTTTGTGGGGGTAAATTGGAAATATTTATGTCTTGAGCCTTTCATATGAAGTGTTTATTAGTATCTGCTTTTGTGTCCAGGAGCGTGATCCAGTTGAAAGAATTAGGAAGCTTGTTCTATCTCATGATCTAGCGACTGAGAAGGAGCTGAAGGTAATGTGAAAATATGTTTTCCTAATATCCCAATTGGCTTTTTTAGAATATTTTCGAATAAAGTTGATGTAACACTTATTAGAACGAACCAAGAGTGCGATGTGAGCTTTCCTCCTAACAAATCAACAATATTAAGAGATATTTGGCTGTTCTTACTTTTTCTGTCAGGATATTGAGAAAGAAGTGAGAAAAGAAGTAGATGAAGCAATTGCACAAGCTAAGGTGAGAAGTTTAGCCTTCTTTTTCGCTTGGTTTTGGAGAAGTTCTGATTTCGCTTCTTTTTTATTTCTTTCTACTTTTGAGTGATAAGGTGACTGAAGATGCTTCTTGATTACATCATGCATGGGCCCTGGATGTCTTTGTTAACTCTTAATTTTGGACTAAAAGTCCTTTATGAATTCTTAAAATTTGCATATGATTGTATGTAAAAGGATGTTTGGCAATTTTTGGATCGTTTAGGAGTGAAGCAACTGAACCAGTTTTCCTTTACAATGGTTTATTATTGTTTAATATGGAGAAGGAAATTACGCTCAGATAATTGACTGAATATGGAGTAAAGGTCTGTTGCTTACCTGGATTCTACAATACCGCTGGAAGGTTGAATCATATCATTGTAGATGATTGTGGCTCTCTGTCAGTGTTATTGAACATGAACTACAAAGAACCAGTACTTTTTTAGCTGATCTGTCCAGATAGTCATGTAATGCTGTGTTTGATACGGGAAGGTTAAAATCAGAACTTGGAGTATGCACAATATCAATTTATGCTGACATTTTTGTTGGTGTTGTGTTGGAAACTCATTTAAAACAAGTTCTTTGTATGTGTAATTATGCTTAACAATGTATGTAATGAGTGTTCTCCTGTGTTCCAAGCTAGTCTATTGACTTTTTAGAGTCCAACTTAACCCAATCGGCGATGGCAATGTCTAACAATGTTTGTAATAACTATTTTCTTATTACTCTATCCTTGTGTGGTTATATATATTTTTTTATCTCAATTTGAAAACCATCCTGGATCAGTTGTGAGATGGCATAGCTAAACCTTGTATCTTGATGCTGGCATCTGCCATTTTCAACAAAGTATAATGTCCACTTTTACTTGTTTACTACTACTTGATTTTCTACTTGACAGATAACTCAGCACAAATGGGCAGGACCATTTATGCAACCTGTGGATGTGGTAGGTCTTGGTTTGCACGATGACTATGAGGTAAAACCATTAACTTTGTTTTAGTTTCCTTAATGCACCATTAATTTCATTTTTTCTCAGGTATTCCTTGCCAAGGGTACATACTAAAATTATTTGATAATTTATTTCAGCACCACTGGCTGATTTTTAAAACTATGTACTTGTAGGAGAAAAGACGGAAAGAGGAAGAAGCAGAGATGTAGTTAGAAATGCAGCTCACTCAAGATGTTGCTCATGCCAAAATGACCAAAGATTTAAGTGGAGAGGTAGTTAAATGAAGAAGCTGATGAAGGCAATAGTGGGGAATAAGCAAAACTTAGACAACTTCGTGATCTTTTTTGTATTTGAGTGTTTTATTGTGTATTGAGAATAAATAGTACGTATTCTATGTTTATTGTGTATGGATTAAATGTTTCATAATGAAGTTATAATTTTAATTTCATAGTCTTAAAATACTTGTGCGTAAAATAGATGATGTTTGTTCCTAATTTGGTGGTTAATGTTAAAAAGAGAGAGAAAAAATAATAGGGACATGAATGACTACGGTCTACGATAAAAGGCAACGTTTTAAAAAAAAAAAAAAAAGTTTTTCGCAATGGACGTTGAATGTTGCAAATGAAGTCTTTTGCAACGGTCAAAAAATGTTGCAAATGAGGTCTTTTGCAACGGGCGTTGAACGTTGCAAATGAGGCCTTTTGCAACGGGCGTTGAACGTTGTAAAAAAGGTCATTTGCAACGTTTTTTGGCTGTTGCAAATGACCCTTTTTGCAACGTTTAACAACCGTTGCAAATGACCCTTTTTGCAACGGTCAGCAATCGTTGCAAATGACTGAGACCCTACAGCAACATCGCATCCCACAACAGATGAGTGACCGTTGCAAAAGGGTATTGGCAACGTTTTTTGCCCGTTGCGAAAGATCTTTTTTGGTGTAGTGTCATTTCGTTAAGATTGAAAGTATTACTGAAAGTAAACTTGAGTTGCAGAATGCATTAATTCATCAACGAGAAAACGAAAGACGAAGAGATCGACAAAATAAAGCTCAAACTGGATCCATTAATCATCGCTAAGGGTCACTGAACCCATGTTATCTAAAAATAATAACTCCCCTGTTGTCCATGTATACTAGTCTACAACAAATCATTATTCTGAATCTCCTACTTCAAACAATGAAACGTCGAACATCTGTAATTCTGGATTACAGGTAAGCTCTAAACGTTTAAATGTACCAGGTACTGCATATGTACTACCGACATGCATCTATTGTAAAGATTGTGGTGCAGTGTGCTCTAATGGAAAAGTCAAGCTCTGATTCACCAATTGAATTATACGTTTTGTTTACTTCTAAAGAACTTGCATGAATGGAATTCAAAAGAATTGTAATGAGATATAATAACAATTTTGCATTTACTTCATTTGGTATAAAATATGACAAAGAAGTGTTATTTGTTTCCTTTATTTGTGGTGCAGAAATGTGACATAAATCCTAATTCATGAGCCAATGTAACTCATTCAACTTGAAGAATAGAGTTTGGACAAGATTTGGATAGTTTGCAATTGGTATAAAACCATACGTGTATATCCGTCTCATGGCGTCTTTCACGCGTGCAAACATTTTCATGTTTACATTTTTCGCTGCCTTGTAATTATTGTATGAAGCTGTCAAATTATAACTTTTAATGGATTAAGATCCATCGTATGCCATTGGAGGTCCAAAGATTCAAGGGAACTTTTCCTTCGGCAGATAACAGCTAAGATGACACTTGAACTACTAAAAGAACCTCAGGAAGTCCAGAAGGATCACAGTTAATTTGGTGAAGAGTTTCAACCACTTGCTTTTCCATGGAAATCGGACTTTGACCAATGGACACAGATTTTGAGTACTTAAGAACTTTATTACGCTGTGCCAACTAAAGTGAAGTTGGCACTGAATTGAAGTACATGAAATGCTTGATTGGAGGAAGCGATATAGAAGCATAGAAGGAAGAATGTCCATAACAGGAACTCTCCCTCATATGAGAGCGAAGAACAAAACACTGAAGGGTATATGAGAGCTGCAATATGCATTATTCATGTTCTAAATCCTACGAAATGCTGCTAAGAACTCAGTATCGATCGATAACCAATGGTAAGGCCTAGAATTATTTCGATTAAAGAAAATCGACAACTTTTCGAGATTTCACTTTGAAGATAATACCTTAGAGATTGAAGCAAACTTTCTGCAGCAGAAGCTTCTTGCTTTGCTTCCATGGAAAAAATCTTAGAAGTACAATATTTTTCTAATTCTCACTACCAAAATTAGAATGATCGACATATGCCTCAATTTTTATTTAGAAGACTTTTCTCACTTTTTCTTATCTAGACTCTCACAATTTTAAAATCGGTAGTTAAAATCAAAATCTTTATAGCTGTGGGATTTGACCCCATGCCCTTTGTTAAAGACCGACGAAATTGCTATTATACCACTTGTTAAGAATTATGTATTTCTTCGACCCACTTGTTATAATTCAGGATTGAAATATCGAAATTGTATGTCAAAATATGAAATATGTGGTCGTAAGCAAAAGAATAATAAAAGATAAGAAATATGGTAAAGGAATTTGGAGATTTTATTGACTCGTGAACCATAATGTAGTAATATAAAATTGATTTGAAGTTCTAGTAATCACAAATGCTAAACTATAATATATTCCCAAAACCTCTTTACTAAATTGTAGAGAATAACCAATTATATATAGGCAACTATGTAGGAAGACGTTCAAACTCCAATAGATGTTGTAGTTGAAGTAGAATGCCAAAAACGTGTTAGAAAGCGAAAAGGTTCTTGATCGGATAACCATATCGTTCGAGCGATAAGCTAGCGACAAGTCCGTTGCTCGAGCGCCAGACGGCCGACAGACGAGCAACCAAGTCTCGGGAGAAAATCTACAAGTGTTGTTCGAGCGGTAGACTAGCGAAAATGCAACGACTTTTCTCTTCGATCCACCTCTTCAAGTACAATAAAAATTCCAACTCCCGATAGAGCTTCCAAATAGAATTTCAACTTGAATAAGACTCCAATAGTATTCCAAACTGAATTCTTCTTGACGTGCACTTCAATTAGAATTTTTCAATTATTTCAACAATCATACCTAAATTCTAACACCCTTTCAGGGCCGGAGCTCTTAAATCTGGCGCCTTAGACCACTCGGTCTAAACTGTCGGCTTCGAATGTCTTAAGATATATAATATAATCATATTTGGTATCAAAATGGGTATGGTCATTCTCCTCCCCAGCACAGCAGGCAGCAGCTCTTCTTCCAAGTAGAATTTCACTGCTTTTGGGAAAAACAATTCTTTAAACCTGTTTTTATTACACAAATGATTGTTATAAAGAATACATAATAAGATTTACTGCTTGCATTTTCTTAAAGTTCTTTAAAATTTTATTGCACAAACACCTTTTTTTCCCGAACGAAAAGCCAATGGACTTATTTTGAGCATATGGAATGCGGACGATTGGGCTACAAGAGGAGACAGACCGGAAAAAAGCACCATTTGAATCATCTTATAAGGACTTCAATGTTGATAGAACCCTACCCTGCAACGTGCATCTAGGTGTAAATTTGTTTCGTTGACTTGGAAGGCCCGTAACTCTACCGGGGAAAAGCTCGAGCTGACCCGACTCGTGGTTCGAAAGAACCAAACCCATGCTCGGTCTAAGCCATTTGGAGTGTCGGCTCGAGCCCAATCCAGCCCGTTTGACTCGATCCACACCGAGCAACCCTGTCACAGGCCATGTAACAACTACATGCTACTGCCTGCTTGAATGAAAAGATAATTAACAAAAAATTGAATGAAAAGATAGCACTGCTGCCAGGGTCGAGCCTAAATTTTTTGGTCGAGCAAAAGATAACTTCGAACTAAAAAAATCCGAACCATTGTTACTCGAGTTGAATCCGACTGGTTGATGTCCACCACCACGAAGAATTAGTGGGCTGATCAGAAGGATTTTGCTTGGATTGAGAGGAACATTGTTAGATACGAGGGTATTTCAGTCTTTGCATTCTTTAGTGAGTAAAGGGTATTTTAGTCAACTAACACCGTCGCCGCCCTTTCCCCTTCTCCAACAACAAATTATTAATTGGATTTGTAGAGAACGAAAAATTCGTTGGTCTTCCATCGGATAAATAATTACCAGCTAACAATGGTCTGCGAAAAATGTACGTTTCTCCTCGTATGTCCTCGATTTCATCTTATATAGTTACATATCTGTATTTGGCCGGTGTGATTTTGAATTAATTAGTTAGGGTTTTGTCCGATTGATTGGGTATTTTATATATGGGTATATAGGCGAGAAGAAGCTGTCGAAGGTTATAGTGCCGGATAAATGGAAGGAAGGGGCCCACAACGCCACCGAAGGCGGCGGTAGGAAGATCAACGAGAACAAGCTCCTCTCTAAAAAACACAGGTCTCTTCTTGTCTTCAAGAAATATTTTGTTTAAATGCATAGGTGTTTAAGGTTACATATGCATTGTGGAATTGTATTTATTGGAAATTTTGGCGCTATTATTAGAAGGCTTGGATATCTTCAATTAAATTTACCAAAATATTGGATTTTTGTTGTCATTGGTATTGTTTGCTGAATATGGTGTGATTTGTTTTAAAATTTAAGTTTCGAGATTTTGCTGAACAAAGTGATTATTCTGTACTATTGATATTGAATGTACTAAGCTAGGTCGTAACCATGTGGAGCTCTCAATCTGCTTACCCATGATCTCCGTAGAATTGTAAATAATACAAAATTATTAGTGCTTAGTGCATCCACAGGAAGGAGGGAGAGTCGCATGAAAAAGATAAAATTGGTGGTTAATTTGTTTCTGAATGTTACACTATGGACTAGAATGGGCTGACTGATCCTATATAAGAGCCTTGTTTTGGGTACTAGAAACCATGTTATAGTGGAAGAGCCACAATCAAGCTCCCATAGTAAATGCTAGAAGGTGTTGATGGGATATGAATTAACTCTTTGAATCTATCTTTGGAAAGTGATCAAATGCACTATATCTTTAGTGGAAGAGCCACAATCAAGGTCCCATCTTGTTTTTGTGCATCCCCCCTGCATTCAGTTTTAGATTCTCAAGCAGTTCTCTTAATGCTTTTCTTCTAAGAAATGATGAGTTTTTTTTTATATGAAACTTTATGCTCGGATCATTTTACATTTTCTCATATGCAATTATAAGCAAAGTGATTGTCTTGCAGATGGACACCTTATGGACAAACCAAGTGCATTATCTGTAAGCAGCAAGTCCATCAAGATGGCAAGTATTGTCATACATGTGCTTACAGTAAAGGTAGTTTGTTGTTCTCTGCAACTTTTATGTTGTCTTATTTTGATGAATGTGTGCTTCATGGAGTGTTCTGAGATACTTTTATAATGATACTTTTATAATGCAGGAGTATGTGCAATGTGTGGGAAGCAAGTAATTGATACCAAATTTTACAAACAAAGCAATGTATGAGGACTAGTTTGATATTATGGTTCTGTTTCTCCTGCTGATATTACAACAGCATAATATTTGCATCTCTTGAACTGAATGTAATCATACTTAATGAATGACGTTGGTATTTGCTTTATGTTTTTGGTACCTGTATGAGCAGTGAAATGCACTTTCTAAGATCTTAGTATTTGTCAAGCTATATTTTGTACAATTGTGCCAATTGTTCTACATTTTTTTCATTTTACGAATCATTCCATCTGGGCTTTTTAACTTTAGGCTCTTAGCCTTTATAATGTTTGTTTTGTTGGTTTATTACATTGATAATTTGGAACTTTTATAGTGAAAAGGTACAGCCATTGTTAGAGGGTTTTACATATCAAATAAATAGATAGCATGACATAGCAGAATAGTGCACAATTAATACATATGTTCTAGAATTCCAGTACTCACAGGGCCGATTTTAATGCATTAATTTCTCAACGTCAGCATAGCATAACATAACAGATAAGATGAAAACGGCAGATGACTGAAAGTTTGCAATAACCAAGGTATATCTTAGGGTGAGATACGAGAGTTGCTTTTTTGGTCACACTCGATATACATAAGAGATTTTCAATGTAAATACTTTATTCATCTCGTAAGATGCATTTTGCTGAATATAATTGAAATTCAGGTAAGATATGGTGGGATAGTATTCTTTAAAGAGTTTCTTGAAATCGTCAACATCTAGAATTAATGAAACAGGATCGCATGTAACTTGTAAGGCTGGTAGTAATGCACCAGCATTAGAAACTTCACACCGAGCTAACGCAAAGTTATAGGATTGAGCATACAAATGTACAACAACAATGAGAACAGAAAGTGGCGGGGCTACGATCAGTTGATGTTAACATGCAACAAGCCCCTGGATTTCAGTCACAACCACAGTGTGATATGTAAGTTGCTGCTGATAGCTAAAACCCATGGATTTTGATGTTCTCCTTCTTCACAATGCCAGCCTGTTAGGGCAGGCAAAAGAGAGAACTCAGGAAAAACATAAAGAGGGATGATGTTATGTGTAAGCGACTTATAGCAAAGAATTACCTGAATAAGGAAGGATGAAACATTCTTCCGCTGATCACCTTGAAGTTGTATAACCTGTCACTCATACGCAATGAGAAGTTTCAAGACGTGCCACACAAAAAAGCTAATGGCACAGAGCAGACTTTCTAGCGTCAAATACTCACCTTGCCCAGCTCGGGATCCTGGACAACAGTTCCATTGCAGCAAAACTCCTTCTTAAGGTCCTTAAGTATTTTATTGTAGCTGAACTCTTTCTTCAAACCCTGGACAGTTGTCAGGCTTTTTCTACCATTGCGCTGCTGTACGCGGATATGCACATATTCTTTCGACCCAGCACCTGAGTCTTCAGCATTCCCCTCAGCAAAAGGATCTGTTCACAACCCAGAAAACAAATAAGACAGAGCTCCATTTTTATTGTTGAAAGTGATATAAAGAAGCTAAACAGTTCCGCTGTTCTGTGGCTATACAAATTTACAAATAGACTTACCAAATGGGATAGGGACTTGGATGTCAAGCTCAGACATGAACCTTGGCTACAAGAGTTAAATGGAACAAATGAAAAATTGATGGTTTATTTTCTTCTTCACAAACGTTCACGCTGAAACTTAATTACAGATATATATATAGCCATTCAACAATGAAAGCAGAAATAACCATAAAGATTATATCGTAAACACACTTTACATTTGAAATAGGTTTTGAGTTCTTCAAAATCCGAATATCTTAATTTCATCATAATATCTTACAAGGAAGTGGTAAACTATTTTAGCTCTATATTCCTTATACTTTTGTGTAGAAACCATAAGCATCTTCTGAATATTTTATATTCTTTTTAGCTTCTCAGTAGCCATTCCCCCTACCACCGAAAGATAAAAACAATAATAAAATACATAGAAGATGTAAGCGTACACAACTTTCAGCCAGCAAACGGAAATTCTGAATTTCATATGATTCTCTAATGGAAATTACAGTTCCCCTTATTCTATCCACTCTCGATCTGCCTTGTAGAGGCCACTCTAACCAGGATTCACCATGAAATTAGAGTGTGATGGAACCCCGACTTCCATTGAATTCCCATGTGATTGCACATGCATTGGTACAGAAACTTGAGAGATATCAATTGTTTTGAATGGTTATATTCATTTAACAACCAAGATACTAACTTGGTTACACTATCACTTTGCATACCAATGCCTCTGCACCCAGCTTGAAGCAGAAATGAAAAAGGATCAAGAGAGAGAATGACTACCAACAATTTCATACTTAACATGGTTCTCAAAACAAATTTCAAGACCATTGATTTTCTCTGGCTTGATGCTTAGGCACAAAAAACGTACCTAAGTTATTGGCAATCATGGAGGTTGTCATGGCTAGAACCTAACTTCAATTAAAAAAAAAATTATGAGCATTAAAATCCAACCCTAGCTCACACCTTTCTCCCCTCATACTAGGGTTGAACAACACTATCAAACCACAAAATCGAATTGAAACCCTTTTTTTGAAATCGTTGGTTTGGGTCCACGTGGATTTGTCAACATTTTGGTTTTGACCCGAACCAAACCACTTTGAATGGTTTGATTTAGGTTTCAATCTCTGCAAATCGTTTCAAACCATCAAACCGTTTACAAAAAAAAATTTGTAAATAAATTAATTTAATTTTTATCCAATCCAATTAAAACTAAACTCATCACAGTTAAAACTAAACCCTATAGTGATTCGTCAGTATGTGGATCGAGTAGAAGCATTGGATGATTCACAAAAAAATGTTGAAGCTATTGTCGTATTTGATCTTTTTATTCATTTTCTTTTATTAGTTATTTTATATCATTTAATTATAATCAATGAATTCATGTACTATATTCTTATATTTGTGGAAAGAATGAATCATACCTTACAATTGCAAATGTTGAGCCAATTAGTATAGACTAAAAAGTTAACATATTCATATCATGTTGTTGCATTATGATTATAATTATAGAACTTTGGTTTATAATATTTCTAATTAACACTATTTATCTTTTAACGTGAAATTTTATACTAAGGATCCGTTTGATTGTAAGAATAAAATTTGGATGGAAAGAAAATGAATTCCAGGAATGGAATTGCCTAAAACTTGTTTTATTGGGAATTTTCAATTAATTGTGTTTGATTGGTATAATTTTCCACTTGAAAAATATTGAAATTTTGGATCTTTTAATGTTCATTTGGCTTTGTTTTCTATGAAAATTGTTCATTAAAGGGATATAATTTGTTTCAATTGAAAAAAAAAAAATTGCCTTGAAAACCAAAAACTACGAAACCCATGGGAAAACTAATTCAAGGAAAATGTGAAAAATGGGGTCACATGAGGTATAAGTTGAAAAAGCAATTGCCTAGAAAAATTTTCATATCAAACGGTCTAAAAGGTGGAAAATGGAAAATAATTTCCAACTTCCATGAAAAATTCTTCCTATCGGGACCTAATACTTATGATTTAACTTATATAGTATATGTGATTTTTTCTCTATTAAATCGTGGTTTTAAATCGAAGCAAACCGAAAAAAAGTGGTTTGGTTTGGTTTAGGATTTAAGTAATTTGATTTGATTTAGAACTAAGTGATTTGATTTGAAAATTTATTGCAAATCGTCTAAATCGATTCGTGTTCACGGCTACTTTATACAATCAATACATCTTTCATTCTTAAAACTTCACATTGAAAACTATTCAAGAATTTGAAAACTAAAATATAACTATATAGCATGTGACGTCCACATAAGAACAATAATAAATAAACCGATCAAAAAAAAAGAACAATAATAAATAAATAAATAAATAATAATAATAAAACGATGCGAAACAGAAACAAGATTTCCTCTATAACTCCATACTTTCCTTCTCTGTAGTGAAAATTATTATTGATCTTCTGGAAGTTCTTCTTTCCTCATGTACAAAAAATAATAAATCATTGTTCTTGGTCAAAATCTAAATCCTTTCAGTTTTCCATAGCAGCCCGGAGAAAAAAGATTCAACCATCACCTTTCTTGACTATGGTTTCCGAAGATATAAATTATAATTGTCAATTCTTTGAAAAAATTCAAGAAATACAGAATTCCCATAATAAATAATTTGATAAATTCTCGTATTTATACACCAATTTTTAACAAAAATAACAACACAAGAAACACTAATTACTATACAAATATTCAGACACTATGGTCATGTAGAATTACCTGATCGGAAAGGAGAATTGGGCTCTTTGAGAAAATCGAATAATGAAAGAAGTTACCAGAGAGAGAGAGAGAGAGAGAGATAAGGGATTTTTCTTTATGTAAAGAAGAGAGGACCACAGACAGACACAGTTAAATGGATTCCCCTCTCATTTCTCTGGTAATTGGAATTGAAATTTCAGGTTCAAAATTATCTACTCCCGAATATTATGCTTGGAAACATATTTCCAGTTTTTCATTTACCATTTTTGGACAATGGTGATTCAGTACAGGGTTGAAAGGTAAAAAGAATAAATTATTTTACCATTTATTTATAAAATATTGTTGGTATAGCCCCCGTTTATTTCTCATTTTTAATCCATAAAAATAAAAAATATGACCATTATTCATTACATCAAGCCGTCAATTTTGAATTTCTATCTTTTGTGTGGGACCCATAACGACTATATTTTTCATTCTCATTCTACAATAATAAGAATCAGACGTGCCCATATATTTGTTTCCTTATATCTTCTGGAGAAAAAAAACAGCCTTAATCGTAACATTTTAGTCGGACCATTTGAGTTGAACATGATTAAATAATAAAGTGTCTTGTTTAATTAATTTTATTTAGCAGTACCAAATATCCAAGAATAGAAATGTGTCATCATCATATAACAAAAGAAAATTACTTATTTTAGTAAATATACAACGTTTGGTTTGGATTTATATTGTATAATTTCGTATGATAAGTACAAAACAATAAAATATACAGTGTATTGCTAATTTGTCTTCAAGAGATTTCATCTTCACCATAAACTTCACCTACAAAGTTTTGAGTAAAAACATCTAACTGATCCCACAAAATTTAACGAGTCCAAGTATGGAAATGAAAACGTATTGAATATTGAATAATTGAAAACAACTGACAATAGTTTTAACCGACACCGACAGAAGCAAACTAGGAGAACACTACTTTACATTGCTTACATCATGAATAGGGATGACAACGAGGTGGGTATGAGACTCATCGGTCATTCCACCTCCATCCCGTCGGATATTTTTATTACATTGCCCTATCCCCGTACCTAGTTAAAGCGGGACGGGGCAGGTTCGGAGTTGGATCGGGGTGGGGCCCTGCCCCATTTATTTTTTCTTTATTTTATTTATTTTATGTCTTTAGTTATTAAATATTAATACTTTTTTATTAATTTGTTAAAAACAACTTATATTCTCTTTAAAAATGATGATAAATTTATTATTTTTATTCGATAAAAAATTTAAAATTGAAATTAACTTTAAACTGGACTGGTAGCGGGACGAGAACTATGTTTCTCGTACCCCTGTACCCACTTCGGGGTAATGACCCTCATCCCGTCCATGTCCCGCTTACTCGGTTAGGTGGGTAATTCACTAATTCTCGCCTCATTCGAGGTGGGATCCCACGAGTATCGAGTTGAATGGATTTTTTTGTCATCCCTAATCATGAATGCTTGCAAGTATAAAGTTGTACTTCCCATGCCAAAACTTGACCATATACATCTTTATGTGTATAACGGCATATCAATGATAAGTGTACATTATGGGGTTCACATTTTTGTGTACGTTTCATTGAAATTCAAAAAGTATTGGATGAAAAGGTGTGTTTTTTTTTTTTATTCGGTTGTCGTTACTTGTCACAATATAAAAATTAATGTAAAAAAAGATGTACGTGTAACATGATTGATATCAACAATTCCAAGACTAAGCGACATCTGCAGAGTGGGATGGACATGGGAATGGGCGTAGGGTGGGGCAGTGTCAGTGTAAGACATGCACGTTCATATTGGACAATACCATAGAAAAGATTTTTTAATTCTTTTTCCTCCTTTAGTAACTGTCCAATACAGTTTAATCCACCTTATCAAACACGTGAAAATTGTAAGAGTTGGGGGAGAACCTAGAGAAGCGGTGACATACCTTCACAGGAGTACGGCTTTGGAGGATGCTCATAAGGGACGGGTAATTGAATCACTTCAGTGGATTCTCAATTCTGCATATTGGTTTCCTTTCCAAGCCAAAGTCACCAGCTTCTTCCCTCCACTTCGGAACTTTGGAGTGAAGCCTGACCACTGAAAAAAATTCAGCATTTGACCAAGGATGAGAATGAGATTTTTATAGAATGTGAAAGCACTAGCAGATTGTGTAACGAAAATATTAAATGACGGGCACATGGCTCTTTATTTTCGAGTGATTGCTGTTGACCTCAAAAAATGTGCCATCAGAATTTCGATCACCTCATTTTCACATAGACATCACCTGTACATTGGAACACCACATTAAGAAGCAAACCGTCGGTTGGGAAAAATATTCGACAACCGTTTGTACTCCGACGATCGAATCAACGGCCGGACGAAAGAGAAATGAGTGCAAAATACAGAAGAGGGGGTTTGGCTACGGTTAGAATAAACATACCTTTGATTGTGAATGAATTCACATATATATAGAAAAGTGGAAATTACACTAGACCAGGTGTTTAGTTTTAACTTTCTAAAAATCAGGTTTTTGCTTTATTTAATTAAAAATTAGGTTTTAATTTCACAATTAACAAAGTTTTGAGTAAAAACATCTAAATGATCCCACAAAATTTAACGAGTCCAAGTATGGAAATGAAAACGTATTGAATATTGAATAATTGAAAACAACTGACAATAGTTTTAACCGACAATGACAGAAGCAAACTAGGAGAACACTACTTTACATTGCTTACATCATGAATAGGGATGGCAACGGAATGGGTATGGGACGAGACGGGGTTTGGAGCTGGATCGGGGTGGGGCCCTGTCCCATTTATTTTATGTCTTTAGTTATTAAATATTAATACTTTTTTATTAATTTGTTAAAAACAACTTATATTCTCTTTAAAAATGATAAATTTATTATTTTTATTCGATAAAAAATTTAAAATTGAAACTAACTTTAAACTGGACGGGTAACGGGACGAGAACTATGTTTCTCGTACCCGCCTTGTACCCACTTTGGGGTACTAACCCTCATCCCGTCCCTGTCCCGCTTACTCGATTAGGTGGGTAATTCTCGCCTCATTCGAGGCGGGGTCCCACGGATATCGAGTTAAATGAATTTTTTTGTCATCACTAATCATGAATGCTTGCAAGTATAAAGTTGTACTTGCCAGGCCAAAACTTGACCATATACATCCTTATGTGTATAACGGCATATCAATGATGAGTGTACATTGTGGGGTTCACATTTTTGTGTACGTTTCATTGAAATTCAAAAAATATTGGAGGAAAAAGTGTGTTTTTTTTTTATACGGTTGTCGTTACCTGGCACAATATAAAAATTAATGTAGAAAAAGATATATGTGTAACATGATTGATATCAACAATTCCAAGACTAAGGGACATCTGCAGAGTGGGATGGACATGGGAATGGGCGTAGGGTGGGGCAGTGTCAGTGTCAGTGTAAGACACGCATGTTCATATTGGACAATACCATAGAAAAGATTTTTTTATTCTTTTTCCTCCTTCAGTACCTGTCCAATACAGTTTAATCCACCTTATCAAACACGTGAAAATTGTAATAGTTGGGGGAGAACCTAGAGAAGCGGTGACATACCTTCACAGGAGTACGGCTTTGGAGGATGCTCATAAGGGACGGGTAATTGAATCACTTCAGTGGATTCTCAATTCTGCATATTGGTTTCGTTTCCAAGCCAGTCACCAGCTTCTTCCCTCCACTTCAGAACTTTGTAGTGAAGCCTGACCACTCAAAAAAATTCAGCATTCGACCAAGTATGAGAATGAGATTTTTATAGAATGTAAAAGCACTGGCAGATTGTGTAACGAAAAAATTAAATGACGGGCACATGGCTCTTTATCTCCGAGTGATTGCTGTTGACCTCAAAAAATGTGTCATCAGAATTTCGATCACCTCATTTTCACATAGACATCACCTGTACAGTGGAACACCACATTAAGAAGCAAAGACCGTCGGTTGGGAAAAATATTCGACAACCGTTTGTACTCCAACGGTCGAATCAACGGCCGGACGAAAGAGAAATGAGTGCAAGATACAGAAGAGGGGGTTTGGCTACGGTTAGAATAAACATACCTTTGATTGTGAATGAATTCACATATATATAGCAAAATAAAATCGGATTGAGTGAGCGCTTATGAAATGGGCCCAAATTCAAGACCAAGATGCAATCGTTTAACTAAATAAGTTCAATCAATTGAATAAACGATGTCACATAGATATATATGGGACACACTCCGTCTGAGCATACCACGTAATTGATAGGTGTAAGAAAAATATAAGTCCCTCCAAAAAAGTGGAAAAACTGCAATCATCGTTAAAAAAAGTAAAAAACCAAAGGTAAAAGTCAAAACCACCTACATGCTGGGTATGCAAATAAAAACTTTCAAGCACTCATATTTTTTAGTATAAAAATTTCCAACCACTTGGGCTCAAATGAATGGCATCCAGTTGTAACAACAGTGTGTTATTTTTGGGGTTGACTGCATAATTTTTTTTTTGTCACTCGATTTGGTCCATTACGCTATCTCGCAAAAGAATTGTAGTACTCTACACAAATTCAGATATCTTAAATGTATGTTTAGGAACTGTTCATAACTGTTTAAATTATAAATAGATAAAAATGAATAGTGAGTACGTGTGTACTATTGTTAAGCTTTCGACAAATGGATAAAAAATAATTTGAAACGGTTTATAAACACAAGTCAAACATATTGAATTCTCCCCTTTTTTTAAACACACGCTCCTTTTTTTGGTTATACCACTTCATAGTACATCGATGAGACATAATTAAGTGTTTTCTTGATTTAAGCTAATCTAACCATCTAATCTATTAAAATCTTTATTGGGCGTGTTAGGATGTAGGTATAGAGATTTTAAAAGATTTCAGTACATGTATACAATTCTACAAACTTAAATTGAGCATTAGTAGTTTCTCAATAGGCTCTACTACTTGCATTATATTATCTATAAAATTTAAATAACTTTTAGCTTTAATTTCTATACAAAGACAAATGTAACCATTCAGATAAGTTGGATGAAACTTTTAAGAGCAATCAACAACTGAACCATATTATTCAGTGATGGATGCAGCTCCAAAAATCAAGGCATAAATCTAACATCCTGTTTATTTATATCAGGAAAAGACTCAGATTCGAACTGTCAGTAGCGTATCAGTGTGTAGGTGTTTCGAGGGCATTGAACAGACATATATCAAGAAGTTTTTGTTTGACCATTTGCTGATTTAAGTTACAAAAATATTATCAATTTTAATAGACCGAGGCTGCAAAAAGAATTACACTGTGTTATGGTTTGGCTTTTCTTTCGTATACTAAACGCTTTCCCCTCTCAAAAATTCTTTCTTGCCTTCCTGCAAATTTGCAACGGAATACGGGCAAACACAAACTTTTATCTTCTGCGTTTTGATTCTTTCCTCATCTCCGCCATGTAGCTCTCCAAGTTGGGTTTTTCCCAAAGACGTCTCTGAATAAGATCTTCCTTGGTTGATTCATCTAAAGGACACCATAGAAAGAATTAGATTAAAGAACCAGACAATGAGAAATTCCCACTCAACAACTGCACCCAATAAAAGAATAGATAATAAAAGTCATGAGAAAACTATTATGACTCGAAAATTTGTTACAAGAAAGTATCTCCCTGCGGCAGGAGAACCTCCAGTGCAAGGAGGCAGTGATATCAGAAATAGTCAACCCCCCCCCCGCCGCCCCTCTTTTGGGGTGGCTATCTAGAAAGTGAATCCCTTGATCCATTTGACAGCAAACCCATTTCAAGGTAGGTCCAAATAAACGAATTCAAGCTAGTTTCAGTGTGTGTGTGTGTGTGTACAGAAAGTTGAGAAACCTCATAAAGAGATCGGCATTCTAAGGTAACCTAGAATAAAGATTGCAACTGTTCTTGGTCCGAATATGAAAAGATGAATTTTGAGATAGACAAGCTGTGCTACCAGTATATCTCCATGAATCAGAAGGTACTCCAAGGGATCTTCTTGTTAAATAGGAGGCATCTTCCCATGAATACGGAGCTCGTTTCACCTTGTATCTCCAGAACCAACATCCATACCACAATAAAAGCTGTGGAAAGCAAAAAATTTGTAGTTCTATTATGCGTAATCTAATTTAAGATTTTGGATTAACGCACTAATGGCAATCACAAAAGACAACAATTGAGAACAGCCTGAAAAATTAATGGCCTTCTTTCATGCATCTGTAATTAGCGTTAGAAAGATGAATACACTAACCTTCCCGACAGTGTAAGGGAGTAGCAAGAAACGAATGCCTAAAAGTTCCCAAACAGAGGGTTTTTCAGCACCCTTTATCTGCAGGTCAAGTTCCTTGCTGAGCTCTTCCTGTAGCTTCCTGCCAAAAAAAGGAAACTCCACTCATCTTCACCTCAAAAAATTCAAGAAAAAGAGAACTACTGAGTGCATAGAGAATCAAAATCCTAAAAGAAAAGTATCGAATCGTAGGTATTCAACCGTAGGTATTCAAAATAAACTTACTTATCTACTTGCTTGTTACTTTTCTTCTTATTTGTCACTCCCCCATTGCGTTCAAGTTCCAAGGCCTTTAGCTTGTTTTTGTAGGCGGGCGACTTCTTGACCATATCAATAGCCTGAAACAAGAAGAGAACTTAATATAGCAGTAGAAGAGAAAGAAGCAACGAGGGTACGCTATGTTTCTTAGCTTCTATATTACGTATGTGCACAGCTTCCTGTGGTAAGTGTGTCTGAACTCTGATGTACAAGTGAATATGAAATGAGAATTAGCAACTAGATAACATGTAAAGCTATGGCCAAAAAGAATTTGTCCAAAATAATGTTGCTTGCAACATTACACTTTATACCGCATTTATGCTTTCATATTGCACCCTAGCATTAGCCTTTCCCTTAAAAATATCCTATGATAACCCTTTATGCAATAGATAATGTCTCCAGTAGTTACCTGCGTATACCTTGTCCACTGGTTTAGATACTGGAATACAGAGAGCATCAAAATAAGTCCCACAAAGACAGCACGAGGATCCTAATAAAAGAAATTGTTAATGTCAAAGTATAGGTTAATATGGATAAACATAAAACAGAATGAAGATTAAAGTCTCTATTAGTCATGTTAATCTTGAATAATCGGAGTATATAAAAGATTAGCAAGGAAATGTAAAATGTTCTCACTGTTTTGTGGCCATAGTAAGCATGGTAGTATCGAGCTGTGTTATAAAACACCTAATAAACAAGGAGAAAAAGGTTAAGAATTCCCAATTATGATAACAACCTAACTATCAGAAGAAATGGTTGGTCTTTATGGGAAAAAAAAAAAAAGAAGATAAAAAGAGATAAGTGGATATCAAATGCACAGAAAGATTTTTGAACACTTGTTTCTATATTTTGAACAGGTCAGTGCACGCACAATGTGTGTGTGTGTGTGTGAGAGAGAGAGAGAGAGGTGGGGGGGGGGGATGCAATGACAGCCCAATTTTTTTTTAGATCAGTATAACCTCTTGTAATAAATGCAAATATGAACTGAAGATTTAGTGTGATTAAAAATCTCCCACTTCAAAGCATGAAATCTGTATTGGGATATTTCTGTTATTCATCCGGTAAAAGCTGGCATTTTGCACACCCCAACCTTTCATAACTCATAATTTATGACAGGTAACATAAGCAAGACGAGGTCACTGGTCGGATGAATGTACTTTCATCATAAATTTGATTCATACATTATTCATCGTTAAATGCTAATCATGGAACTGAATGGATCAAACAAAACTCGGAAATGACAACAATATATTGCTTCGTTATTGCATTGTCAACTTTAGAATGGAGAAAAGGTATTCCTCTTTTCCCTTGCGAAATTTCCATCGTAGAAGAAAATTAATGATGATAATAATGATAATTTATGCAGAGGATCATCCATCATCAATGTCAGATGACTCATTTACAAGAGTTACGGGAATAGTGTTTCTAGCCAATTTGATATTCTTATTTACAAAGAGAATGCCACAAATGTGATATGGCATAGCATTGACAAACAGATTTACAAATTTCCTTCCTAGAAAAGTGAAAACTGCAAGTGACTCTTAGCATGTATACTACAAAGTGAAGGCACAATCATCAACTATACTAACCTCCTCTGGGTGTGCAATTGCATAATCGTACTGCTCCCTTGTAGCTTCGTCTTTCAAAATCTACAATTAACAAGAAAGTCATTTATGCTATTCACCATTAAATCATCTGGTTGTTAATTGAATGTGGTCTTATAATTTAACAACACGATTTGAATCTTGAGGAATCAATATTTGAATTAGAAATTTGACAAAAGATTTACATCATTTTTCTGTACAACAGAAATTTTATCATCTATTCTACCACAATGGGAACCCTACATTTCACCACCACGACTTTATCATCAGCATGATATAGCAAGAAAATTCATTTTGCCAAAAACACTTGAATCTTGTAGTAATCAATATATGAATTAGAAATTTGACAACAGATTTCCATCAAATTTCTGTACTACAACAATTTTATCATCCAGTCTACCACAATGGAAACCCTGCATTTTATGTTAAATCAAGCAATTCATAGCCACAACTTTATCATCAGCACGATATAACAAGAAAATTAATTTTGCCAAAAACACTTGAATCTTGAAGTAATCACTATTTGAATTAGAAATTTGACAAAAGATTTACATCATTTTTCCGTACTACAACAATTTTATCATCTAAGTCTACCACAGTGGAAACCCTATAATTTTATCTTAAATAAAGCACTTAATCACCACAACTTAATCAAATAAAGTAGTAAGAAAATAATGGTCAATGAATCGAAATCCGCTTTGATTGCATATAAGATAAGTACATTCAATACGTAAATGCATAAATCCACATTCATTGGAATCAACTGCTGGAATAACATAAGTAAACACTTACCTCATAAGCATTAGCAACTTTCACGAACAACTTCTTCGATTCCGGATCGGGATTTTTATCCGGATGACTACACACAAGAAATAAATAAAAATCAACATTTAACAGCCAAAATAAAGAAATAAAATATCATTAAAAAATGGGCAGAACTTACTATTTAAGAGAGAGCTTGTAATAAGCTTTCTTGATCTCAGAGGAATTGGCATTTTGAGAGACGCTTCAAAATCAAAATTAAGAAATCAGAAAATAGGAAGGAAATGAATGACTTGTAGGGAAAGGAGAAACTGTGGACGGTACCCTAGGAGATCGTAACAGTCATCCTCATCGCAGTAGATAGCGACGGACGGACGGATGAGGAGAGAGACCACGAGAATTACTGTGAGTGCGCACCAGGTAATTGCTGCTCCTGTTGGCACCATCATCGGTTATTCGGGTCTCCGAGAATCGGGATTCGCTCTTTGCTCGGCCAAACAGAGAAGTAGATACTATTTCTCGGCAAAATTTTCTTCTGGCGAGTTAATTGTCCATATGGTTACTAATCTTCGATTGCTAGCGAAATTTAAGATGTCCAATTTTGGCCCATTAAATTTATTTAAACGACATTACTCACCAACATAACATTCGTTTCAAATTGTTAACGGAATTAGTATCGTGACTAACGAAATACAGATGTGATGCCTCGTCACGCCGTTAACAAATTGTCACTTCTTCAATTGGTCATTAAATTTTGAGAAACGTCTTTGATTGCTCACTAAACCATGAAAAAAAAGTCTTCGATTGCTTACTGATATGTAAATTTAATTTTAATTTATTGTTATAAATTTTAAGCTACTTTCATCATTTGAAATTTAGTCCAATTTATTGTATATTGCGTTGTTAAATTTAAACTAAAACAAAATTTGAATTTTGCAACGAAACACACAATAAATTTAATTAAAATTTGAAGTTTTTTAACGAAACACAATCCATTTAATTATATTTATGGTGTGTTTCGTTGCAAAATTCAAATTTTAATTTAATTTAATTTAAATAATGAAGTACACAATAAATTTGAATTTTTCAAATGATGAAAATAGTTTAAAATTCTAAAAAATATGTAAAAATTAAATTTAACTATTGTGTAATTGAGTAATCATTTCTTGTTAAAGTGGATGTTAAGATATTTAAAGGGTTCATCTGATTTATGTTTAGAATTTAAAATGAGTAAGGAAGGAATACAGTTAAAATGTTACACTGATTCTAATTTTGCTGGTGACTTAGATGAAAGAAGATCTATATCTTCATATATTTTTACTTTGTGTGATGACTGCATTAGTTGGAAGTCACAATTACAAAAATTAGTTGCCTTATCCTCAATTGAAGCTGAATATATTGCTGCATGTGATGCTGTGAAAGAAAGTATGTGACTAATTGGCTTGTTAAATGAAATTGGCTTTGCTGATGATTCTGTTAAGATATATATTGATAACCAAAGTGTCATTCATCTTAGTAAAACCATGTTTATCATGATAGAACAAAACATATAGATATTAAGTTTCATTTTATAAGAAACATGGCTGAAAAAGGTTTGATCAGTTTAGTTAAAATTTCAACAGAATACAATCCTTCAGATTTGGGGATTAAGGTACTACCTTTAAATAAATTCAGAAATTGCTTGAAAATTCTGAATATCGCTTGATGTGATAATTAGAACTTCAAGTAATGTTAATTGAATATAGTTGAACTAATTTTTGTTTTTTTCTTTTTGCAGGTTTTTTCAGTAAATGAAGAAGCAAAGTAAGGATATGCAATTCTAGATCCATTAAGTGAGCCAAAGTATAGCTCAGCAAGGTGGAAATTGTTAATTGTATTCGGTTGCCTCACTATAATTTAGGTTGGGTCGTTTGTGCTGTTGCGCCATTAAGTAAAAAGGGTTGTGGCCTCAATGAATTAATGTTATCAGTCGTACACGTGGCTGATACTCTGCCCTCAGATGCTAACTGTTCATATTACTTGGTTGACTTGGCTCTTTGGATTATGGGCATTCGAGAGTATTCCATCCTCCCTTCGTCTTTGAGTGAAAGTTTAGGGTTCTTTTGCTTTGTAACCGTAATCGATCTTAGTGATTCTTCAATCCTGTTTCTTTGTGAATGTCTATATATTGTGTATAGTCTAGGGGTTGATCTTGTAGGGTTACAGTTCTATATTTAAGGCGAGATTAATCTGAAGAAACCTTTGATTTCTTCGAACATTTGTACTGATTCTTATTCTATTCTTAGTGGATCTAGAGCTATATCATTTGTGGATGTTCAACGGGTGATTAAGTCTTTGTGACTGAACATCTGAACCATACGGGGTGAAAAATCTCGTGTTTAGTATTTTTTTATGATTCTGCATATTATTTTGTGGTTTGTGAACTTCGATCCTTTAGTATTGTTGATTTAGGGCCTTACACGAAAGCCAGATGAGTGCTTCGGCAACCAAACGTACACTGCAGCTTCAGCATGCGTCAAAGACACCACAACTTACTACTTGGCCAATGCTGCTCATTTAGTGAACTCGTTGTGCGCACACGCTAGCCTCTTTCATGGTTCACTTGGGTTTGCATGATTTTTAAGGGTTTTCTCAGTATTAATGTTGGCACGAAATTCAAGACCTAAACCTTTAAAACACAATGTATTTAACATCGAGAGGTGTTGGAAAACACATCACAACGCATTTCACAAATACAAATTTCTTTTATTGAGGGTCTGAAGAAGAGAGGAAGTTTGAAAAATTCGAAGTGAAGCTCGAGGATTATTATTCTTATTTCGTTCTCTTCTTAATTTTTACAGTTGATGTCATTTTTAAATATTATATATTTGTATTCTATGAACACGCTTGGCTAAAATCCATAGTTAAAACGAATGGTATGGTCAAGTTTAATTGTTTAGTTTTAATTTTTGAATTTTGACTTCAATTATGATTTAGTGTTGATCTTTTATTGTTTCTTTAATTGTTTTCATAAATCCGGTATTTTTATTAATTGTTGTGAATTTTTGTTGAAGCCGCTAGATAGAATACCAATTTAGCAACCATAAATTATAGGTTCAGGGAGGAGATAGTGATATACTTCTAAAATTTGTGCAATCGCATGTGAACTTTTTATGATTAAACATACTTAATTTGTTGTGATTTACCCAAAGATATAGTAACTTCACAATCTTGAAACCCGATATGCAAAATTAAACCTAATAGACTATACGACGCAATCGTGAAATTCTCAATTTCATTGATTCCAGACGATGTTTTAAATTTTTTTAGTAATTTCTTGTTAAAGAAACCAATCTCTACGTTTTTATAACAAAGTCCTCGAAATATTAGGTACACAGTCCTCGAAATATTACTAGGACTTCGTTTTTAATATGACAAATTAACTATTAGGTTTAAGAAATTTAAAATTAATTATATAAATACGTTAATACTCTGTTAATTCAACGGAAAACCTTATAAAGTAAATTACATTCTAATTTTTATATTGTGCAAAAATAATGTTTTTTTTTTTGGGTAATTGATAAGTCTAGTACTATTTTCAGTTTTTTTCCCAAACATTAGTGGAATTTTTACGTCTCCGTCTATTCCCAAATGAGGGTTAGAGAACCCCTACTATTTTATTTTGATACGATTATGTTCAGTTATTGATACATTTGATCATTGCAAGTTGTTATTCTAGTTGCCAAAGACTACTAGAGCGCTACTTTCATTGATCACATGATATTAGTTGTAATTTTCGACAAAATTCTAGAAGTTTGTTGAACATGACCATGGTTGTTGTCTATAGGAGAATATCTCATCTTGTAAATAGGTTCTTGTAAAGATATGGCACAATGATGTTGGGCCTTGACTGATAAATTGGGTTGAAGCTGGCTTTTATTGTTGGGCTGGACTGTTTTAATGAAAAGCGTGTTTCTGGTTTCATCCTTTACCCGTATGCATTTTCCTTACCTTTGGAAGTTGGAGATGTTACTAAGTGTCGTCCTAACAGCCGTCGGATGGTGACCTTCTGGAGACTTCTCTTAAAAGCTAGGGTTTGAGACCTTTTGACGTTCTAGTCTCTCATTCTTTAGTCTCTCGAACTCTCTCTGCACTCTCTTGCACCGTTCTTCCTTCTTGCACTCTAAAATTGATTCTCCTATAAATCGAGTGTAGTATAGCTTGTATACATATCTTGAGTGACTTGTAGTGAGACTGATTTGTATCCTTGTATGGATTCATTTGTCGATTTGTGGGGGTTTCCTTACTTTGAAGAAATCTTGAGGATTCCATCTGAGTGCCTTTGTGTAACAATGAACGGACTTTGATCCTTGGTTTATATAGTGATTCCTTTCGGTTGGCGGAAGCTCAAAATGGAATTAGGATTTATTCCGAACTTCTTGCTTTAGGGCGAAAATCTCCCGTGTTCTTTATTGTTTTTCAATTTCTTGCACATTACTTTTGTTATTGTATGTTTTAGTTGGCTGATTTGTGACATTTAATCTTTATAGTTCTCGAGTGCAAAGATAGAAACATTTAATTTTTGTGTTAATCAACCCTAAAAGTTTAGGGATTTTTCTCTTTATATTTCAGTTTTGTATTTTGAGTTTTAAATTCATTTTGGATTTTGTGTTTTGAGTGTCCATTTTGAGATTTTTGAAAATGTGTTTTATTTTGGAGATAAATGAAAAATGAAAAAAAAAACTCTCCCTTTCTTCGACATACACAAAACAAATGGCTGAAACCTTGAGCTCGAACCCTGAGTCGAGGGGACCCTTCTCTCCTTCAAGCCCTTTCTTCTTGGGCTCCAATGATGACAAACTTGATCGCGCTTAGGCACACACTGCTCGTGCCACCGTTGTGCGCCGAAAACCTACAGCCACTTCTCCGAGGCAGATCCATTCATTGGAAAATAATAGATTCTCGAATTGTTTCAGAATTGCATCAAAGTTGCCAGCGAAAACGTTTTCCTCTTTTTTATTTTATTATTTTTTGTAACTTTTGAGAAATTTGATCATGAGTTGGTTTACGATATTTATGGATTTGCAACAAATCGCCTCTTCCTTTGATTGTTTATCCTTAATTATCCCCAAGTCTACCTTTAGTGCTTTATATTTTTCATTTCAATTAGTGTAGGCGGTGATGATGGTTGTGGTTGCGGCGGCATCGGCAAAGGTGTGGTATAGGTAGTGTTGGTGGTGGTGGTTGGGGTGACGTTAAACTGAAAACACCAAAAACGCGTTTTGAAAATTTGGCTTGATTATAACTGAAAACACCCAAAAAGACAAATTTGTCATTTTGGGTTTTCTTTATAAATTTTTAACTTATTTTCAAAAATGCGTTTTCGAAAATGAGAAATAGAACGCGTTTTTACTGTTTTGAAAAATCGAAAACGAAGAACGGCTTGATAACGGTAAAGAGAACATGCCCT